TTGAAACTTAGTGACTATAGTATATCAATACTTTTTATTCAAATAACTGCCGCAGCTCAGCCCAATTATTACCTAATACATTGCAGTGAATATGGTTACACTCCTTTGGTCAGCTTTATTATATTACCATCCTAACTGCCGATACTTATCATAAAGATGTCTGATAATGAATAAGAATCAATATTTAATAGAAACGTAAGTGATATTTATTATTTTAAAAAGTTCTTTGGATTCTATATAGATGCAGTATACCATTATAGTATGTGTTTAAATTGCGAAAATTTCACAGTGATGACACAAGTTACATTACACGCATTAAAACAATAAATTAATATAGAAATCTTTAAATACATGAAATACTTATTCGATAGAAAATTTTACTATTATCGTGTATAATTCTATTTTTCAAAGATAAAAATCCCGCATTATCGATCAAATAATTTAGGTTCACTTACTGTATTTCTTTATAGGTCCATAATTATTTTTAAGGTTTGCTTTTATTTTATTCATATTTTCATATTAACATTGATGTAAATAAGTCATAGTGCTACATCTTAATAAATCAGAACTTTTCCGTTATAATATACATTTTCATGTAATTAATAATTAAATGCTTATAGCTATAGACTATAGCATGTTATAGTAAATATATATTATATTTGTTTATTATGTTTCATTGCAGAATTTTCATCAAAAACTTGACACGGTCATATTAAGTAATAAGTATATATGGTAATTATAACTTCAATAACTTTTACTAAATAATTATACCAGACCAGTTTAAGTAGTAAAGGTTCGAGTTCCTCATTTGAAAACTTTTATGTGCACTACATTCAAATAAATTTATAATAAAATTAAAGTAGATAACGTTTACAATAGATTATAAATGACATATTACTGCATTAGAAAATGTATTTAAAATTATGAGATTCGATTTAAAAGTTTCATTATTTGAATAAAATATAATTGTGCGTAATAAATTCAAGTAACTATAAAATTATATAAATAACTAAATGTTATACTTTTAAATATTTAATTTCACTCAAATTTCAACTTAATATATCAATAAATAAGTTGTTACGTATTTTTGATTTTGGTTAGATTATGAGCTATATGAGGAACCTTATATTTTAAAACTAAATTATGAAATTTAAATTTGTATATTTTAATAAGAAGATACTGTTTCCAATTCTTAAGTAAATGACGCAAAAACCTTGTCAGAAATCTGTATATAATTTTAAGTTTTTGCAGTGAAAATGTTTATCAAATTTATAAAAATAATAATAAAACTCAAATTGTAGACAGTGAATTAAAATATTAGAATTTAAGAACTTATTTTTGTAGTTATACGTAATTATGTACAATCAAATAATATGAATTAGAAGAATATAAGGATATATAAATAGAATACTTAAAGAAAATGCGTACCATTGTTATACGAAAATGTATTTTGATAACAACATTTAAAAGTAGAATTAATGAAGTGGGAATTTTGAAAGTATGTAATCAAATGGTTACATATGGAAATTATTGAATTATTAATTAATAATTTAATATTATTAATTACGAATTGATATTAGGTTTATTATTGTCGATGATAACCATTACAAGTGTTAATTTTAAGCATAATTTTTAAGTTCAGTAATTATGATTAAAGTATTTTGTTAATTGTTTAATTGTGTTATACTTGTTAAAATTGCTGGAAAATTAAATAAATGTTTTTGATAATGTTGTTGAGCAGTGACTTTGCATACTCCCATTCAATATTTTCCAGGTTTTGCTACTAATTTGAGTTATCACATTGTTAACGTTTAAATCTATTTCATTGTACATATATCTTTATTATTACTTTCACGGTCATATGTCAGTAATGCACAGGTATATTAAACTACTTTACATAAATATATTATTAGTTTTAGTTCAAACTCAAATGTAATTTACTTTTCACTCCGACCGACTGAATAGTATGCAGTATAGACGTCGACGACCGAACATCCGGTGTAGGTGAAGATTAGTAGGAAAAACTTGATTAAAAGTATATATTTCACATACTATATTAGGTAGTATACAAAGAATACGCCATCACATATTATAATACACTCGCTAATATATGGTCTTGAAAATGGTTTTTACGCTACTGTTCGGTGCGGTATTTTCGAGGCGGACTAATATTGTATAAATGAAAGTTTTCTACAAGGATCGTATCTAATAATATGCATAAATCGCAAACTAGCGGCGACCGAGCGTGCCAGGGTTATATATTGTATTATGTGCGAATAGAGACGATGCAATATACAATACTATGTAATATGTATTATTCACATTCAGCGTGCTTAGAGAGAATGAGTTCATGCGTTCATATTTTCGAAAGTAAATCGTTTTTGTGAACTTGAACGGAATTCCAAGTTTTAGTTAATTTCAACCGTTTTTGTGTTAAAAATATTAAAAAAAAAAAAATCATTGCAACGCATTGTACTTTATTTCATATAAGTTTTTCGAAGCTATCGTTAAAAACTATTATTCAGATAATACGAAAAAAACTCGAAAAATGTTTAAGCACTCACATATCTGAGAAGTCGAATTGCGTTTTATTTTATCATACATATATAATATATATATATTGTGTACAGCTTTCATATATTAAAATTATATATGTATTATGTATAGGTTATGTGGAAATATATTTTAGCAAGTGATTAATTAGAATAGGGTCGATTGTAACACGGCTTTTAGTAATGATTGTATGGTTTGCATTTAAAAAAAAAAAATGTTTCCGACCAAAAACTGTGCTTAACTTTTTTAGATCGACCGAAATTCTACCCTCGAGATTGAATAGTCACTGGGGTGTTAACATTGCGGGATTAGTCAACGCGGTGTTAAGGGAACGAACAATAATCGACAAGTATACGTGTAACATATTAACTGATATTATATAGTGTTGATAAAGAGCGCCGACTAATTGGATTAGAGATCGGGGATTGACTTTGATAGCGCGAACGTATAAAGACAATCACAACTACTACTGATAAAATTATCGCAGGCTCGTATTTTAGTTTTTCTTAGTCTCTTGCGTCGTTCAAGTTACTGCTGTTAAAAATAAAGCAATAAGACCATAGTTTTTTGCTAGTCTCGAGTAATGCGCGTATCGAAGATCTCCGAGTAATACAATTTCGCGATTCGTTTTGAACTTTCAAAATCCCCACATATTATGCAACGATATATACAGCGCGTATTACGTATGTGACGCGCGCGGATAGTTCAACGGGTTAGAAATGATGCCCGCGAGTTGCTCGCGGGTCGAGCGAGGGATATTATAATTAACGGTTTCCGGTCGACGGCGGCGGCGGCGGCGGTGGTGGCTGGTGAATACGAGATGAGACTTTCAAATTAAAACAAAAGGGCATCGCGCGCTTAATATTATTACGTGTACGCATATATATATATATATACATATATACAATAATATAAATAACAACAATACGAGACGCTCGCGTACGTGTACGGCCCGCGCCGCCAATCGGTCTCGCGGGGAAAGTCGCGGGAGTTATGAATTCCGCCGCCGCAAGTAAGATAATGAATTCCGTTCGTCATAACTCCCCGTGTCCGCACGTATATATATATATATATATATAATATATACAATGTCTGCGGCTCGGATGGAGTTGCCGCAGCCGCTTTCGGTTACTTACGACAGACGGCGGCGGAAGAATCTTCTCGCGTAGTACATATACGCGTATTACGCGTATGCGTGTGTAGAGCGCGGGGCGCGTGTGGCGGCCCACCGTAATGAATAATACATGACTCCGGAATATAGACACGCGGGTCCGCGCCCGTCTCCTCCCGCATTTGCAGGACCGTCTTATTACGGCGGCCGAAAGTTCATTTGCGCGCGGGTCGGCGCGGTTTTCGATATGCAAGAACCATATTATTATTATATACGTATACCAGCGCTGCAGCGATGACTCTTTCCGCCTCGGTCGTTCTATCTCCGTCTCCGTCTGTCTATCTCCCTCCCTCTCTCTCTCTCGCCGTCGCTCAGTCTTTCTCACTCTCTCTCTCTTTCTCTAAGTAAGTACCTCTCCTACTCCGTTTTTGGCCCGTCGCACATCATGATATTCTGTCGGCAGACTTAGGACCGTCAATTTAGGACCGATTCGTGCGGTGCAGCGTCAAGAGTCGTGGCGATACTATACGATACTATACTGTATCGAATACCTATATTTTATCGTGCTGAGTGTGAGCGCGTCGTAGGTATTAGAATATTGTACTACATATCAACCGACGTATAAAAGGGAACGCGTGCGGTCTACAGCCGAGTGTATAGCACTCGCATTTCCGGACGGGCGGACGGACGCGCATCTCAAGGCCGAATCTTCAAGTCTGTTAGACGTGTTATACGTGTATATTATGAAAAAAAAACAAAAATACAGTTGCTGGGCAGCTGTTCGAGTCGTGACAATAACCGTAATGCGATGGGTATTCAGAAAAGTCGGAAATCGCATCAATCACTAATAACGACCGCGGCGATTGAAGTGCAGGCCACAGGTATGACGCGACGTGTAAGTAATTATTAGGTATTGTCTAACGGGACCGTCAAGTCCCGACTAACCGATCGATCCGCGTTCAACGTACATCCATAACTATGACAGCTAGAGGCTGTAATTTTTCGCGGTTTTCATCACCTACTGCTTACGCACCGCCGTGTACATACGCCGCATACGAATTTAGACCTGTACGCTTCAAGACCGCGTGGACGGTTTACATTTGACCGAGTTAAAAACGCGGCGGGACACGTCCACTGGAATTATTCAATGTGTCGTAATAGGAACGCTGTGCAGGATCGCCTATAGAAATGAATGTTATTAGAACATCGTTTGATATTGCACGTCATCGTATATTTTATACACGTCTTCATAATATTACTTGAATCACAAGGTTTATAATATGTACATCGTATCATAATATATGCCTATAAGTATATTAGGTTTAATAATGATAATAATAGTAATGATAGTAATAATACAGATATGATCTATATTGATCTAGGAATAGTCTTAATATTATCGTATACAATATAATAATAATAATCATTATTATCTTACGTGTTACAACATTAGGAGTAGTTTTTTTAGTTATATTTAATCTAAACATTTTCGTATGCAGTATCATAACATTAAATGCAACAACATAATATCAAATACAACGTAATTAAAATCATAGTGTGGGAGGGCATCATACATCTAATACGGGCGACGCAGTTCCGCGGACGGCGGCCGTGTCGCGTGGTTTCGCTACCGCTCAATAAGGTCTCCAGACGGCCGAGTGGTCGGCCGCGGCCACGGCCTGTTGGGTCGGCCTCTGCGTGGCGCCGGCAACCTGCAAATGATCGTCGTCTCCGGCACCGCCGCCGCCGCCCCCGTTGTCGCCGGGCTGGTGGTAGTGATGGTGATGGTGATGGTGTCTGGTCATGTTGCCGGCCGCCGACGCGTGGTACAGTTGCGAGTAGAGTTGCAACGACGCCGGTATCTGCATGCCGGAAGTCGGGTGACCGCCGCCGCTGTGGTAACCGCCACCGCTCAACTGATCGTAACCGTGCGTGTGGCCGATGGCCATCATGTCGTCCGCGGTCCCGCCGGGTCCTGTTGGCGAATCGGGCGCCGACGAGTCGGTCGAGCGGGGACCCGACGACGTGGACGGATGCAGGTCCGGCGCCGGCGGCGGCTGCATCGCCATGTCGTTGACGGCCGACTGCTGTTGCTGCTGGTAACCCCTGACCGTCGGGAACCCGATCCGGTCGTGTTGCTGGTGACAGTTGGACGTCGACGACGACAGCAGCAGATGGTGCTCTAGGTCGCCCGTGCCGTTGACGGTTGTGCCGGTCGTGTCCGCAAACGGTGGCATCACTGTGCGTCCGTACAGGAAACAAAATAAAAAAAAAAAATATACGACGCGATCTTAGTTTGATTGTCTAAATTTACTAATTGCATAGATTGAGTCGTGTGCGCGAGTTCGTTATACAGTGAAACGGCCATGGCATAGTGCACAGCCGTAGGGAGACATAAAATTTCCACCACGGGGGATAGGTTATACGCTGCACCGTGTACGCATTAGTAAAAATTAAAATGTTGTGCTCGTGTTAATTAATATCGGTATAGATTACATTTACTTCATAATATTGTATGTATTTATTGCAATTCATTAAAATTCAGAAATCATTATTAATTATTATTACAATATTATAATCTATTGAAAAATGGACAGTTATTAACTATAAATTACGTATTTGTTTTTAATTCGAGAAACGTCAGTTTATTTTTCGGTTAAATGTTTTCTGTTATTTTGAATTTATTTACAATTTAGAAGCTTTACCACGTATAGTTTATTTTTTTTTTTAATAATTTTTCTTTAAAACTATTTCATTTGTTTGATTTTATATCAACTAATTTAATACATTTTCGTTTATTGAGTAGAAAAACCATTAACATAAACAAAATTTTTAAATGATAAAAAATAAAAATAATAGCAAATATAGTATTTTTTAATTAATTGACATTTTCGATACTATATAGTATATAATATATATTATGTCCATTGATAAAAGGTAATTTATAATTGTGGTAGCGGTTTTCAATGTATGAGTACTTGTCCATTTTTATAGTGTCCACTATTTAGAGGTTCAAATCCTTATTGTGTGTATACATTTTTTCTAAAAAAATTAATAGTATTAACTATAAAGAATATATCTTCTTTTGAGAGGAACCTATTAATAGAGGTTTCACTGCATTATATCTCGTCACGTCTATGGGATTTTCGGATATAGTGTTGAGATTAAGAGGATTTGTGACGAGAACGTGACACGATTTTAGCAAGTACCAGGTATTTGACTACCTAGTTGAAAAGTTTTTTTCTTTTTCTTTTTAAAATAGAGTATAGTTATAATTTATTTAGTTAATTATCTCATCGATGTAATAACAAAACTAAATTAGATAATTTTAATAATTTAGTTTTTACATACTCGTAATATGGTAGTTAAATTAAAATCACGGTAAATAAACACCCGTTTAAATTTAAAATTGTGTTTATTAATTATTTTTGTATTTACGAATAACGTTAAATAAAAATAAACGTTCCTGAATAATAATTTCTGATTTAATAAATTAGTGGATACAAACACGTGTAGTAGTCTAACAGTTACAGTGCACTAAGCAGAATAAATATTGAACTAAATAAGTAATAACTTAAAATTAGATAGGTACTATTTAAAAAATGTTAAAATCGTACAATCGTTTCAAGTGATCTAAATATTAATTAAAACAAAATTTAAAAACTTTAAGAAATACTTTATTATCTGTTCTCTTTATATTATCTAATGGTTTAATAATTTTGACACTGACGTTAATAGTTAACTAATTTAAATTTGTATTGTATTAAGTAGCACATTATTATTATTGCACTATTAGATTTTAGTAAATTTTATCGTATGATTAGAAATTACAAGGTAATAACCACAAATTATTATGCACACGCTAGAAAATGATAACACATTGATCATAGATTTATCTGAAATGTTTAATTTAGATGTTTTGGGATAAATTAAATCTTTAATGGATGTCAATCAAATTAATTAGGTCAGACCAGGATTTAATAATGTTTTTGTAGTATAAAACCATGACTTAAAGATAAGCACGTCAAATTTAATTCACTGATTTTGAAATGAATTTACATAAAATCGTCATGAGTACCTATATGTATTATATTATAGTTATAGGTACAAAAATTATAACATTGCACGATAAGTATATTTTAAACGGTGGTGCGCGATGTGATGTTTTATCCCATTCGAGAAAAATTCAACTTTCTCGTTAATTATCAGATAAATTAAGAAATATTGATTTCAAATCACGAATTCGTAGGAATTGAGTTAAAAAATTAAACATTTAAATTTAAAAAAAATGCAAAATCAAAACTATGAGGACTAGGGTGACGTAATACGTGTATTTAGGACCGTTTCGTGTGTCAGCATACATATAATATGTGCAGATACTTACCGGCGGCTGTTGTCTGCGCATTGACCGTGCACGTCGAGAACAAGTCGTGTTGGTGTCCTGCCGACAGGGAGGTGTGAAGTTCGGATGCGGCGACGGTGCCGGTGAAGCTGGTGGCGAGCGCGGGCGGCGTGAAGTTCGTGCATCCGCCTCCACCTGGCCACGTCGAGTACGCTGTCGAATGAGAGTATCCCCAAGAATGATGGGGTGCAAACTGGCCCATGTCTGCGAACAACCGCAACGTCGATGTAAAATATTAAATTTTATCTGTTTTTATCGATTATCTTTGTACAATATTACACAGAATCTTCATATTTTTATATAATTGTACAATAATCATCATTATAAACAATACTTTGTATAGTTGTAAACATCAGTCGTTATTGACGTTATTGTCAAGCTATCGATCATTAAAATAATTTTGACATGTGTGTAGTACGCGTCTGTCACAAACATAAAAACCCTCATCCCGGTCACCTTCTACCACACCCATCAACACATTAAGCACATTAACCGAACGACCGTTTTCTACTCTCTCGCATTCGAGTCTTTTTGCGCGTGTAAGCGAAATGATGAATGGACCAAGAAATAATGTTATCGCTGCAGTACGATACACACACACACACGTATATATACGTATATATTTATATATTTGTACATGTAAATGTATGAAAATGTATATACGCTCGTCCGGTACGGTTCTAAAATCGTTTAGGCCGTGATACCGTGATACACCGAGCCACATGATGTCCAAATCCGTTTCGCGATCATTAACCGCGATTCAGGACCGAATGGATTGTGCGCACGTGAATTGATGATGTCGAGTGCGAATAAGTTATAACATATGTAATATAATAATAGAATACACCCGACCGCACGTTGGCCGCCACCCGGACGAAATAACAATAAATATATAATATAATATATACGCCCTGTGGTGGCGAATCGCCTCGGTAGGTAAGCAAACGCATCGATAATAATTATTGTTATCATCGTTAACCATCCGTTTCGCATTAGTTAAACGACCGAAATGTAGTAATATGTTTTTCTTCATTTTTCATCACACTCATACAATATATTATAAATGTATTACACGCGATTTTATATATCGTTTTTTCATCAGTATGTGTCATTGTTGCCGTGTGCCGGCACATGAACAAAATTGCAACTACGTCACAGTTTTACAGATGTATCACGGCAAATAAAATATAAGCCCAACAGGTCACATTAATTTTCGTAAGTTGAATTCGTTGCTCCTCAGTCCTCGTAAATCATAATTATTATTATTGGTGCCCAAACTACAATGGTACACTGTTTGTCAAGATAAATTATTACAGACAATACGCATATTTCGACATCGCGCGTGGTAATGGACTAGAGGCACGATTTACGGCTCGCACATGCGTTTGAATATAATATAGAATGTACATGTTCCAGATAACCGAGTGGTATAGAGGGACTTCAAATACATGACTTCGAACAAAATTCAAAACACATTTTTCGTCTTAAAGGGGTATTTGTTTTATCGTTTTCACATTACTAGTATTACAAATTACAAATGTATTTATTTACAAACGTGACTAGAATAATATTTTGGTGCAAAGTCAGTTTTCTATAACTTATCTAAAAAGTTATTATAACAACTTACAACAGTAAATAACTATTATTATGTAAAATATACGACAGCAATAAGTTTTCATATTATTACCTATGAAACCCGTGAAAATGAAAATAAGAAAATTAACTGTAATTATAACACATCATTGAAAGCAATAATGATGTAGTTATTATGCGTCTTGTTATTGTTTTAAAATTATTAGTTTTGCATCTTTAAATTACGTAAAACCGTATTGTAACTTATAACGCTGCAATGCATTTAATAAATGTCGCTATATTATAGTATTACTGCACTACCATTAGGGATGTCGGGGTCTTATGAAATCGAAGCAGATATTATTTAAACTCAATGCGCTGATACTTAAAAAAGATCGAAAAGATACATCCACGCGTAATATGATATTACTTTATTTTGTAGTTGTTTGTTGTCTTTTCAAAAGAACATTATATACCCATGGGAATCGACCCTCGTGCGCAGATACACGCACCGCTCCTCTTTTACCTACAGTTATTAGCGAGTTTTAAATAAACTCCCCCAAAAATAAAATATAAAAAATACGGATCGACGTTTTTATGGTATAGTGATTACTGATTATAGTATTTTACGTATGCGAACTCACTTTGACAATTTGCCATGGATGGCATGCGGAAAGCAAGTGGATCAGCAGTCCTGTGCAGTGGATCCAATGGATTAGCAAAATGTGTCGATAAGAACGGTCTTTGGCCAAACGCAAAGGCATGAAACTGTTGCTGTTGTCCTAGAAATAAAAATAAAAAATAAGCATAAAATTAAAATTAAAGTTATTTTTCTTCATCATACAAGACATTGGAATTTGATGGTTATTGCTTTATTTTAAAATACATCAGTTTAATAAGAGTGTAATTTAATAATATTTAAAGTCATAATATAATATATAACAGCAATTTCAAGCATATAATTTTGCTTGACTTCGGCTTATTCATGCGTTTAAAACACCATCAAAGGCCAACAGCAATTATTTATAATAATTGAAGTCTTACTTTTCTTTAAATTATTATTAATTAAATTATCAAACAGTTTAAAACGGTCGTTTGCACAGGAAACAAGAGATAGGGAAAATAATTCACATGTTATATTATTATGTTTTATATGGTATACGTATAGATATATCATATTTATAAAGATATACCGTAACCGTATAAAATCTATACATATATATGTTTGTAATACAGTTTACATTATTTTTAATTATTTCTATGTATACAATTATATTTCGTAATATTAAACACATTCAAATATGAGCATATTTTAATATTATGCGTACATTTTCTTAAAATAAATATTTGAAATTAAAAACCGTAATCACCTTATCTTCTTAAAAAAAAAAATAATATTATGTTATTATGGTACGGCAATACAGAATGAGTTATTTATTATTTTAAAATATTCCACTGTGCGTTTTACACGTACTAAACAATTTTGCTGTAAGGAGAATATTGAAAATATACAATAGCCGAAGAAGACACACCAGAAAGATAAAATTCATATACGTGACTGGCAGCCACCAAAAAAGATTTCATCAGAGAACGAGTCAGTGACCGCGTGGTTTAGGATTACGTCACAATATATATATAATCTGATTTTAATATAGGTATAGGAGGTGGTACCTTTGTAAAATATTCGTTTACTCCTTTTTAAATTAATTTAACATTTTAAACCACAGAGTATTATATTACTAATTTAAAACAAATTAGGTAATCATGCATATAGGTTTATATTTTCTGGTATATTATCTAATTTTTATATTACACTGCATTACTATATTGATGTTTTATTATCTACTACGTTTCGGATTTAATTTTTAATCCTGAATTTCGGATGAATAACATATTTGCTTCATTTAATCACATTAAGAGTTTTTTTTTTAATGATAAAATATTTAAATTGGTTATTTATTATTTTTTAAGGGAGGGAAGGTGTAAAAAAAAAAAAAATGAATATTATTATATTTATAAAAGAAAGTAGCGATGACACTTATTGGGATAATTTAATAGAAATGTGGTCAAAATTAAATTTTGAAAAATAATATTATAATATTATTGATAATACACCTGACGATAGACTAAAAATAAAAATAGTGATTATTAAAGTACCGGTTGTATTATTGTTGTCACGGTATCCGAAATAATATAATATAACAATTACCATTTTTAGTTTACTTCCGAGGTAATTTAAATCCCACCTTTTCCATCATTTTTGATATAGTATCAAGATAATAAAAATAAATCACATCAATGCTTGCTTTTTTATTCACATGACATCAAATTTTCATTCATAATAGTGTACGAGTAGTGAAATTTGAAGTTGAATTTTAGATATAAAAATCGCATATATTTTTTAATTAATAATTATACTTAGTTGTACATTATCGAGTAGCAATACATCATTCGAAAATAAAACTAATATTTAAAGAATAATTTTTAATTCAGGGCATAGAATTCCGATTTTATAAAAAAAAAACTGTACCTAGTAACGGCTAAGTGTCAAAACATAGGTAGGTACTGTAAAAACGCCAGCGTAGTATTGGACGAAGTAATAATGTGTTCTTATGCTCGAATTTTCCGATTCAATTTTCCGGGATAGTGCCTTTGGAAAAAGTTGGAACTGCGTTACACACATATATACATATATATATAAATGGATCTAAGCGTCCTCTACATTACTCACGAGCTTCTAAAGTGGAAAGGGCAATTAATGGGGACCTGTACAACAGCTGCAACGGCCGGGCACGTGTGTGGTTATCCCACACGTTGTCCTGCCTGCCTGCCGCCGCTTCCGACGTCCTTCCCCAGCAGGATAATAAATGAAAGCGAATCGTCAAGGCGATCAGTTTCCAAAGTCATTAAACGCGGCGTGAACGTCTAAAGTTCACAGACTCGTGATTTGTCCGGATCGTTTGGGTTTATATATAACACGCATATACATCACTATCTATACACGTGCTCTTATACATATACGCAAATATCGGGTGATCCATTTGACGTTAGACATTCATTATTTCAAAAATTATTAATTTTTTTTTATATAATTCAAAAAAATATACTTATGTTACGTAAATTTACTACATTTTCTTATCGTAATTTTGATTTAGTTTTTTCACTAATAATACGCATTTTTAATTTCGTATACCAAAACAAATTAATATTTAAAAAAATCGAATTTTTGATAAGTAGCTTATTATTTTTAATTTTATTAGTATTTATAATTTATACATGAGCTACTCCACAAAATGTTAGTCTATTACTATGCTTGTCAAAACTTTAAATATTTACAACTAATAAGTAATAAGTTATTTGTCTGAGGTTTTATTTTTATAGATAAAAAACACTCCGAATAGTAACATGCTACTTCACGTGAAATTAAAATGTATGATTTTCATCAAAAGAATAAAATATTTCAAAATAATAACGTTAAGAAATAATGAAAAAATATTTTTTTTTTCAAAAATGTTATTTTGTAACGATTTAAAATTATTTATAGAAAATATTTTCAAAAACATTAGTGTTTTCTATAATGATGAGTCTCTTACGTCAAATTGTTCACCCCGTATATAAAATATTATTCTCTCGTGGCTGTGAGCCGGACGACCGGCTTTTATGGTGCCCTATATATTATAATATGCGAGCGCAGTGTTTATACCGTCCGAACGCCGACAGAGAAGACGCGCCGACACATAATACATAAATATAATATAATAATATGGTTTAAATATATAAACAAGATTTTGTTTTATTTCAACGTTTCTTTTTGAAACACCGGCATGTCGTTTAAAGAGACTGCGGGCCCGTTTATAAACAAATCGCGTCGAAAATGCCTTTCATGATGTGCGCAATGCATTGTTGGCGGACGTAAGCAAAGGGACCGGCCGTCGTAAAGAACGTCGACAGTGGGTGACTGACGGTCTGCACCCCTCGTAAAAAACACAAGTTCGACCTCAAAAACGCCTGAAACGCATTCCAGTTGCGTCGTTTATTTGGAAACTAGCACAAAGACACCCGCGACAGCGTATTATTATTATCATTTTTTTTTTTTTTTTTTTTTACCATAGTTATTATTGTGGCATATTGCAAGCAGTAACATACTCATTTGAATCGTATGAGATAAACGTTTCTACACATTTAAAATCAAAAGTATGGTATTTGATTCATTTTTTTAAATAATTGTCCTAAAAAATTAACAAATTCCAAACAGACCAATATTTATGGTGAGAATTAGTTGTAGAATTATCAGTATTGAACTATTATACTATATAATTAGCTATTATGTTATACCAATCAGATATTATGTATATAATATACATATATTATCAAGTGGAAAAATACAAAAGCACTTATGTCAACCTAAGTTTTTGACCAAACCTTAAATTATTGCTTAAAGAACGATAAAGTTAATAAGACACTTATAATTAACTAAAACAAACATATTATATCTTTAATTGTGTAGGTAATACAAAATTACATACGTTTTCAAAACAAAAGTTAATAAATTTCGAATCCAAACTGATTAACGAATTCATTCAATTATGATAAATATCACATGCTTAATATTTTATCTAATCATTATAACGATTTTTTATTGCTATAATAATATAGTTTATTAATACAGAGCATTTCCGAGTTAAAAACCAAAATTAAGTTATGAAATTAATATGAAGTTAATAATCACTTAATTTTTAGATTGATTTTTGGTTTGATAAGTAAAATTTCTGACGTATATAATGGGTAACATTAAGTTAATAAATTACAGATCAAATAGTACAATTCAGATAAATATTTATTTAGCTGAATCATTTCAGCTATACACCTATATATTTTTTCAAGAAATATTAGACATTATTATCAAAATCTGTTGTTAAAAATATAATACTGCTGTTCAATGAACAGTGTTCATATTTATGAGATTATTAATAGTTATTCTATTATAACACATGTATGGCACTATAACAGTACAACTATACTCTAAATATTATAGCATTATGCATTAAATATCAGATATAGATAATAGATCAAATCGCAGATTTCATCATCTCTTATTAAGCTGGGTCTATGCGATGATTATAAAACAAAATAACTAATATTATAATAGTATTCATATTAATATATTATATAATCTTTTATACTAACATTTTTAAATATAGAAATGACTATAAGTTATAATAAAAGCCTAGAGGTATAAAGTCTCGCCTAAAAATTTAAATTATTCTTTCATACACGACTAGTAAATAATGATGTTTTGTTAGGGTATTATAAATGCTTTAAAACCCTTAATTTGTTTACATAAAATAGGTTTATTTCCACTTTTTTCCCTCCATACAAAAGTTATGTACGTGCCACTCATACGAGACTACCTATATAGTCAACGTAATGTTTATCATAAATTAATGTCTCGTGTATAGTTGATACAATATAAATTAAATAACTCATAAATAATTAGTTTTCGATGGATATACAAATATTAAATATCCTAAAAATTGAAGTATAATACAAATATAAATTGTTTAGTAAAAATTATTAACATGACTTGATTTCATGAAAAAATTACAAGTTAGTTCAATTGTATATATTTTCTTCTTTTAGTTTTCGTAGGATAGATATTGCCCTCACCACATTTTTTGTAACCACTCCTATTCATTCTATAATATGTGAATATGGAAAAATATTGAAATAATTCATTTTTTGGAGAGGTATGCTATTTTTAAGTTAAGTACATATTTTTAACTAATTTATTTAAAATTTTACAAAGTTAAAAAATATATAACTTTTAACTTAATTTAAGTTAACAATTAAAATTTTTTTTTAACATATATATCATATTAATATAATATATTATACACAGGTATGTTACGAAAAAACTATATAATTACATATGTTTTCATTATAAAATATAAATAGGTACTTAATATTGTCTTTATCAAAAATCGATCGACTGATTGACCATAATTTTACAGAAGTTAAATATGAACAATATACTAAAAATAGATGAATTTGTGAACTAATGTTAGAAATGACAAAAATAATTTAGATGATAAGCATAAGGATAAAGGGATAAAGACTAAAAAATTAACCAAAATAAACTATATAATTCTACAAGATTATTAAAAAATATACATTAAAAATTACACCATTGACTCGATGAGAGACATTATAGGCTATAGTAGATAGATAAAAATAAAACTAAACCTATTTCCGTAAAGTAGGGAAACAAAATTTAAGACCTCGTAAATTCATATTATAAGACAAGTATACTTATTAGTTTACTCTGATAATTTAGGTTATAAATTATAAGTATGTATATTATGACAATTAAAAAAAAAAAAAAAAAAAAAAAAAAAAAAAAAGGAAAATATTTAAAAACGTGTTCTCTTTAATATTAATGAGTGTTTGCTTATCATTATTTTTGAAATGTTCAGATTTTTTAAAAAATTTAAAAAATCAATAATAAATTAAATATAATACAATATTTATTTAGCTGATTTAAAAATACCCCCTATCGGCTTATAATAGAATAATAATTCACAACATTATATTAGACAATAATAATAAATATGACAAATTATAAGACTTTTAAATTAAATACAAAAGAGCAATATTATTTATTATGTACTTACGTGTTTTGGAACGTGGTTCTCTAGGTCCGTCCACAGTGACTTTGATGGCTTTATTGTAAGTGGTAACTTGTGGGGGCGAACAGCTCACAGTTATAGTCAGCGTAAAACTTTTACCTGTAACACAAATAAAAACCAATATTATAGCAAATATTCCATGAAACGTAATTTTTAACGTCATAACAATGTTGACAAATTATTGAAAAACTCTATTATACCACTTGACAAACACTTTTTTGTGTTCCATATTATTTTAATTATTTGAATAGTAGATAGGTATTCAATTCACAGGTGACTGATTTTTATGGTACTTGTAAACTATAGTATAACGTATTTCGATATTTAATGTAGTTATTTAAAACAGGTCTAATCGACAGTATTATACAGCGCAATACCGTCGTAACCGATAGTAAACAAATAAATTCTGGATACCACCATAAAAAATTGAAATATCGGCAGCTCTAATAAGCCAAGTCTACATTTTAAAAATCAGCATTTGTGTGGTTATATTCTAATAAAATTAATCAGTGTTACAACTTTCATTTTACTATACATAGTTAAAGAAATGTCCAATGACAGTCGTATCCTTGTTGGTCAACCCTCCGATTACATGCTTCAGGACTGTCACACACAGTATATATTATACAAGATATCCCAACGTTTATATAGAATGGTTGATCAAATATGCTTACATTCTTTTTTTTAATAATGTGAGTATTCAAAATATGATTTTTGAAAATTTTAAATATACTTAAAAAGATCATATTTTCAAATTTATAAGATTTTTTTATATTACTAAAAAGTATTGTGTGAAGATAAAAACTTCCTTTTTTTCTACATGAGAATCCCTCTTTTCTATTCTAAATTATTTAGCGAATAATAATTATTCTGAACATTTTATCGTATCAAAATTAAAATTAAAATTAGTTTTTTTGAGTTTTATAAATTTGTATATTAAGCATAATAGGTTCATGTTATTGAGTTTAAAGATATGGGGTTAGAGTGGTTTTTAGTAATTAATATTTAATATCTATCAATATTTATGATTTGTAAAAATTATCCAAACACAAAAAAAAACTAGTTCCAATTCTACATCTATTTTATATTTTCGTAAAATAATATTTGATGACTATTTACCTTAGCATAAACATTTTAATTACTGAAAAATCTGAGTAGTCGTTCGAATTTCAAATCATATTAAGTATGAACATTTTCAAAAATAAATTCACTAAATAATTTACGGTCAAAAAAAAAGTTTAGATGAATAGTTTTTTGAATATCATCAATCTTAAGAATGTGAGAATGTTGTTTTTAATGATTAAAGCTACAATCATAGTTCAAAAAACCAGAATTTAAATAAATTCATTATTAAAGGAAAAATTGGATTGAAAATACAAGATTAATCACTCTGTATACACAATTATAATTAACAAAAGGGGATCGCCGTCCTATGTAAACTTGTTGATAAAGCGCATACAATGAGAAAACGGCCATGTCCCTATGAGGGGAAATCGCGGCGGATTGACCTGATGTCCACCCCATTAAAGTACATATTATACGAATGTGTGTGTAGACGGACGCGTGTGCGTAGGTCCGCGTATAACGAACGGAGACAACTGATGAAGTCGTGTGTTTACATAATTTCACTCTATTTTTTCACCGCACGAGTGCTTATTTGCATAATTTCGCCCACATAATATATCACTCGTAGTGAAAATATAAAAATACCTCACCGAGAGAAGCGGTCATCATCATCGTGTTAATTTGTCGGAAAAACATAATAAGGGGGGGAATGATAAATCGCGTCGGGAAAAACGCGACATTTATGCGATAATAACTGCAGTTGTATTATGTATACATACGTACAAACGACTCGGCGGCAATTTGCGCGCAAACGTAATTATTATAATTGAGCGGAAAATCGTGTCAATGACAACGGTGGCCGTACAATGTAAACGTTCATAAATTGTGTTATCATTTTCGTTTTGTAACAGTTTATTTTATAACCACATTTTAATTGAAGGTGACATTAATTATTTTTCATTGACGTAGTTGTTTTTTTTTTTTCCGGAAAAAAGTCATATTATTTTCTACTTCTCGCATGATTCGACGCACTCTGGAATTGTTTCTCTTATTTAATACGCATCCCACCATACACAAAAACTTCGTAAACCACAAAACTTTAGCTTTAGCTACGTAAAAAAAATTAATTTTTTTATGTCCTTGAAAGTTGAAACTCGTATAAGTTTATATAATAGTTTATATAATAAGTTTATTTTATAGAGAATATCTTTTTTTTTTAATCCGACAGTTTTTTTGAAGATTTGAACAACTACACATTATTGTTTATATTTTTTTTTTAGCTATGTTTTCTGGACATGTCTTATACCTTAAATAAAACAAATATTGAACACCATATACCATATAAATATAATAAATTGTTGAAGATTCAATTTCATCAAATATAAGAGAATTCGAATTTTCATAAAATAATTATATGATTGTTTATGATCGGTAAACTTGTGTAATAAATGTAGATAAACATGTTTCAAAGTATGTCATAATTACATGAAAACAATTTCTGGAACGATAAAACGTATATAAATAATTTTCATATTTAACGATATTGATCCAGTGCTCAATTAAAAATTATTATAACATTTCAAAGTTTTAATCATAACAATATTTAAAGAAATTCAGTGGTAGCCGCTGATTGTTTTAAAATATTTTATAATAAAATTGTTTTCCAATAGACTGTTACTCTTATCCATAATGATGCTAAAATATTTTTTATATAAACTATAGTTTGAAGTACGAAGTGCTATACTTGGCTTTTATGAACAATCTTAGTTTTTTTTATTATAGTTTATAATTTTTTATCTCCACAGCAGAAAAAAAATACATATATTTAGTATATGACCATAGTTAGGTATGTAAAATATGTTTTGTAAATACTTTATATAGTGTTTTTTTGTGAAAAATATATTATGCCCACGTTTTTACAATATTTTAAGTTAAAAGTATTCAGGCAGCTAAACGAGTACATATTATTTCAAAAATGATAAGTGGGCGAATGCAGATGTAAGGCCGAAATACATTACATATAATATAAGTAGCTTATATTATATGTAACTTCGGTCTACGGATAGCTATTTAATATGATAGAAAGTATTTATACATTTTAAATCAGCATTCAATATAAACACATTTTCCTAGGCAAATAAAAAGCAATGCTAGCAGAAATCAACAAAAATTCTTAATAATTTCTATGTTTCCCTCTATACAGACTTCCCGATGTCCGAATTTCGGTTAAGTGTTAAAAATACCTAAAATGATCCATAAAGAAACTTCGTAAAATTTTCTAGATGAAAAGATGGTTTGTGTGGTAAAATATTCTTAATTTTAAAAGTGATCAAACTTCTGATATTTATTTTTTCTATTGATTTAAGAAAATTACAATCTGTGAAACGTAACACAATAAGCAATTATGATAATAAAAGTACAACAGTGACATGAAAACTTAAATAGGAAATGGTCCACTGAGCCACACCTACAAATGAGTTCTTGATAGTATATTTCTTACATGTGTGTATATCTGTTGGATATACATTTCAAAATTCATGTTTTAATTAAAATCCATGCAAAATAAACTATGAAATCAGTTTGATAATTTTTCCCCTTTGTTTCAATATTCAACAAAAATTCAAGACCTTTGATCCTATTTGAATTTTGAATAAGAATTAATTGACATAATTCCGACCACTTTTTTAGAATCTAGATACAAGTAATATACCTTGCAAATAGTAATCAGGAACCAGTTGGACTATAAGATGCACTGTGGTGCATCTACATGCTGAAGTTACAAATTTTGTGTGAATTTTAACAAATCGATAAGACTAATATTGAACGATTAAAATATGACCAATTTAGGCCAATTTAATGAAATACGTTTAAAATGAGTTATGAACATATTCTATAAACCATTATATAACAATTATTGCACAGTTTGGAATTTTCATATATTTTCTAGTTCATTATCTATCTCATAAACGTATCTGTTAGAGAGGCGGCATTCAATTATTTCAAACAAAATGAATGTATAATAAATAATCGGTAAAAATAAAAATTTAATAAAGCATGACAACTATAAATACAAAATTAAACAATACAAAATCATATACAGATAAGCATTAAAATATTATATGAAAAATTATCCAAAATAATAACCACGATGTCCGCAAAATAAAATTTAATAAATGGCATATTTACCAAATCTTGATACCATTTATCAGCCCTAAAAACCTAATCCACGCATAGGATATCTACAAAAAATGGTCTCATACCTTTGTTACGACATTTTAAAATAATCTGTCGGTCACAAAATTTATTCCGAACTGGTCGTAATTCAATAAAATTGTACCAAACGGGATTTCCTCGTCTAAGGAACTTTCGCTCTTTTTGTAAAACGACTAAAATTTAACAAAAATGGCGAGCACACGATCCGAATTAAATCAAACTCAAATACATAGTACGATAAGCGATTTAGGGACAGTTTAAAAAAAAAAAATTGATAGTCAATCAGTGGTCGACCAAAATTTAAGTTTTAGATCACGAAATCGCGGTGAGCTGTAAAGGCCCCTTTACTGTGTCATATGCAATACACCTATACTGAATATATGCACAAGTAATTTATATATATAATATATATTATGATGGACATTGCACACTGACCTCTGCCACTCCTGCCGACGAACCGCAAATCGTTGAACTTGGCCACTTGGTTCTTCATCAGAGCGGTGCAGTTGCGCAGCTCCGCGCAGAAGTTCTCGTCGTTGCCCGCTCGTATAGTCACAGCCGTGCCGTCCGGAACCTCACCAAGCGCCACCACCTTAAATGCGACCGGAAGCGTCTTGTTGGACCGCCAGTGCGTGGGTAGTATGGTGCACACCAGGAACGGGCTGCCGGTGCGCACCAGCTCGCCGGGGTGCTCGGACAGGAAGTCACCCAGCGACCTTTCGGCCAGTATGTCGGCCGTCATCTTGGCATAGGCGTCCAACAGCCCATCGCCGGTGTTCCCGGAACCGGGAGCGGCGATGCCGCCCCCGCCACCGGTCATCTGAGCACCCTTGACCACCATCCCGCCACGGCGGTCCTCCGCGATCGTCGCGTTCGGTAAATACGTAACAGACCGGATTCTGAAAATTGCATAAAACGATGATGTGTTATCAATTTATTATGACAGTATTACGAATATTTTATAATATTATATAATATAACCACGATGACATGGTAAGATCTAAGAACCGACTACAATATATTGTGTATCATAATTAGACGTCATACGGATTTCTTACTTAAAACGCAATCTTTATATATTCTAGATGTTTATAGAGTTAATTTGAACCACAAAATCACCTATCGTAATAATTGTACTACCTATACATTTATATTATATCGTGTACGGTTTATAGTGTTACACTGTAAAAAATTAGTCTTGTTATATTAGGTACTTTTGAATCATAAAATTAAAATATGTAGTGCAAAATTATATTTTAAAATTTAAATTTGTGTTTGGAAACCAATATCATTCTGTCAAGTACACTATTACTTTAAAAACTTACTTTGGAAGTTGCCTTCAAAATTTTAGCAGTTAAATAAAATTGTCATAACACTATACAATAATATGTATATATCTAGGTATATAAGTATTATACATTAAGCTTTTTGGTTAGGTCAATGACTCAAATTTCATTGAAATTTGCACATGGAAAAGACAAAATATGCAATTTTTTACTCAATATTGTACTTGTACATAATGGTTGTTTTTAGTGTATAAATTTACAAAAATTAACAATACACACTGAAATATACATATATAAGTGATACAAATAATTATCGTCTCCTTCCATAAAATTATGTATCTATAATAGAAAATTTTTAAATTTTTTTTTTTTGTTTCAATTTATATTTTAAATATTATTAAAATTAAAAATTGTTATCGAAAAACTCAACATTTTTAAATTTGCGCATTATAATTGTTTGAATAGATTATAGAAGTCCATAAATAACCAAACTATAGACAACTAACAAATCGTAAGAATCTACGTTTTGAATGAAATTAATTTTTAATTTGATTTCTTAAGAACTACAAATACACATTTATCAATATAATTTTATAAATACTTAGATACTATACTTTTTACTTTAAAAGTTTTAAATTAACCAGTGTGTTCTATACTAAACGGTTCCTGATATAACATACTACACAGATAATAAAGTAAACCTGCATATTATACAGCATATATAATAAATAAAATTGATTGTATATTTCTTAGTAATCAATAATCTTTAAACCATAAAAGCTATCGAAACTATATTTACAAACGATACGTACTAGTTTCCTCCCAAAATATGAAATATCTCCCACCCTTATTTTTAATAAAAAGATTAATTAACTTAAAATTATTGCCTCTGAAGTTTCACAATATAAAATGTATCCAACGAACCAGATTTAAAATAAAATTATAGTACTTTAATTTGAAATATTGTATATACTATATACAACAATATAATGAACCGTATTCTGTAGAAAATATACAGATAAAATACTATTTTAATATATCTTTCATTAATTCATTTTCATAAAAACAGTTTTAAATTTGTCAAAGATTTTATTACTTTTATAGGAAATTAAAGAAAAAAGAAATATCTACAAGAAGTACCTATTTAATTTATATGTGTATGACGTGTGTATGTATAAATAAATGTGTTGTATCAATAGTTCATTATTCATTAAAATTATGCAAATGTGTTTAAAGTGATAATTATTGTAATCATTAATATTTAAACAACTACACATACTTACGCTATTTATGCCATACTTAAGTACTTAACTAAAAATAATAGTTTTTCGATCATAAAGTAAAGTGCAATTTATAATAAGAAATATTTAAATTAGGTATAAATATATGATAAATCAGCAATGTGACATCTATAAGTAACTACTAACGAAAGCTTTATACTGAATAAGATTCATTTTTCTCCATGCTTACTTCTTCAAATCCCCTTTAATCCATCAAAGAGGTTGACGAGAATATATAATTAAAAGGACGCAATAAACGTTCTACGTGCAAGGTGTATAACCGGTGTGAAATACTTAAAGACACGTCACATCGCTGTACTTCCACTTTAAAGTTTAAGTCTGGTTGAATAGAGAAGCAATAAGTGTTTACAATTTTACACCCTCAGTAAAATACCTACATATTATAAAGACACTGCAATATACTCGTAATAATTTATTATGCAGAAATTCCAAAATCGTGTCACACAAATTGTGTTAATAATCATGTTGTCGATGCTCCTTCACAATCCTGCATGTATTTAATTATTTTTAATGCATATCTAAATATAACATCTATAAAGTTTAAAACCTATGCAGATATTTTTCAGAAAAATTATAATTTAACGTTTTATTTTATATCCATTAATTTAGTTTAACATTTATATATTTAGACTTACTAGTAACTACTAACCTAATTTTACTGGAATAATATCAATTATTAACTAAGCTAATTCACTAAATTCACTAAACTGTATGACCAATTGAACTTCTTTTCATAATTCAGTTGTAATAAAATCATTATACAATACATAAAAAACCAGTATTATAATAATATACGTAATGTATAGACATATGCGTTTGTATAGGTCTGGAAATCAAAAAAATTTAATTTTGATTGCCTAATTTTCACCACAAACTTAACTAAACCAATATCTTAATATTACGATGTACCTATATAACATAATTATAATTGCAATTAAACATTATAACCATATGTTATAATATATAGTAGACTAGTAAAGTTGTAAAATAATTTATTAAATTTTATAACAATTTAAAATTATTTTCATTTTGTTATTTAAAATATAATTAACTACTTACATAATACATACTGATGGATTACTGTTAAAAGCAGTTATTATCGTATAAATAAAGTAAATAAATTATAGTATAAAGTAAAAGTAGAAAATAACACACAACAAAATATTGTACAATCAACATAAAATATCCAATTAAAGTTATTTTATTTACATAAATGTATAACTATTGGCTTTAATAAGTTTATCAAAACTTCTAATTTTTAAATTATTAATTATTATTAATATTACTCACTGTTTAATGGGATATTTATGTAAGATAAGTAAAGACCGTGAAAAAAATTAAAATTAATATTAATAATCATAAAGTAACATTCAAAAACATATTTTTCTCCTGGAGTAAAAAATTATAAGTACCTAATACTTTTTATTATTTATAATCTATAATAATAATTACATTTTACGTAAATCATTTATTCCGAATTTGTATTAAACTTAATTTTTATGATTTTAAGTCTTTGATAATTATATAATATTTAATTTTGAATGTACTTATTTAGTTAATACTGCAAACGATTAATTAAAACAATTATATTTGTTATACAACTATAGAAACTTAAAAATATAAAATTGTATATGTATATTGATCAAAAGTAAATACGTGTAATGCGATAAAAGATTGAATTATAACAAAATAAAGAGTTGTAAAATGGAATAAGTGAATTTTAAATTAGTTGATATATTATTATTTTAATAACGTCATCTAATAGTATTATCGTTAAAATGAATGGTATACGATAAACATCCCGATAGGATTTATAGTTTAGGTGTATGCGCTATGAATGTCAATAGAAAGTATTAAATGAAAACATTTCACCTATAACTAACAATGACAAGTATGTGAAATAATAATGTTGTTAAATTCGAATAATTAAGTATATACTTTGATAATGTATACTGTAGAATAATGAAGAGCGAATAAAAAACAGTATGACTGAAAAAACGTGGTTAAAATTCGAAGCTTGGGTAAAAAATAAATAATCACAAAAAAGCACAACTTAATGACACACACTACGATATTTTCGAATACCTCGAGAGTATAAATCACACAATACGAAACTACAACAATATAGTAATAATATAATAATAATAATAATAATAACAATATAATAATAAAAATGACAAACAATATTATAATGGATTAATAATAGATTTATAATATCATATTGGTGTGTTACTGACCTTTGTCACGTCGCCGTCAACGACGGAGTGTTTTAAAAACGTGGTGGCGGTAGATCGCGGTGGAACAATTCAAGGCCATCGGTAGGCCGACGGGTTGTGGAAGGGAAAAAAACAGACGCGCCGTCGACAAAAAAAAAAAAAAAAAAAATAAAAAAAAAATACAAACAAACTTTCGACAGCGCTGGCGAGTGACGGGCGGCAGCGGTGGCAACCGTGGTGGCGGCGGTAGCAGTGGCGGTGCACCTACCGCGGTTGTAGTAAAGTGTTTTTTTTTTTTTTTTTTTACTATACTTTTACGACCGCGTTTCCCCGCTCTTTTTTTTCGCTTCCTTCCGTCCCTCGACGCCGCCACGCTCGCGAATCGCTCGTCCGTCGTCAGTAGTGATGATTGCTGTACCGGCGTGTGTACGTTAAAATTTATTATTTATTATTTACGATACGCACTGCGATAATATCGGACGGCGGTATTAAAGGTGATAAAATATTATTTAACGGAAAAAAAAGACCACGTGTTGACGACCGCCGAGTTTCTCGTCGCCGCCTAGATATTTTATTAACGAAGGAAGTATTTTAATAGGAATAATAATAATAATAATAATAATGACGATGACTATAATACGATCATATAATATTGTTGTCGGCGAAGAAGACGGTATAAACCCGACAGCCGAAGCGACTGCACTACCTAACGACGTCGCCGCGCGCACTATACAAACGCGGTACCGCAACTATAAATGCGCGTTTACGGTATATACGCTTTATCCACACGAGTGTATGTGTTTGTGTGTGTGTGTGTTAGCGAGCGAGCGAGCGCGGTTAAACGGCGGCGGCGCGGCGCCGGAGCTCCGGTAACCGGTATACGCAACGCGTCGCAGTCGCGGTATACATGAAGCGGTGGAGCGCGCGACCCGAGTGCGTGCGCGTTTGACCGCAATATTCGGGGGTTTTCGCCCGGAGAGCGCGGCGCGACGAGTCGGTCGCGGCGGGACGCGCCCACATGGGCACCGCACACGCACGCACTCACTCGGACGGGCGAAAGGCGACGGCGGCGGCGGCGGTGGCGGCGTTGGCGGTGGTGGTCGACTGCGCCGTGCAGGGGTAGCGGCGCCGGTGAAGGGGGTGTGTGCAAGGGTTACACCTTTGGCGTGCGCGGCCGCAAAGACGTACACCGGCGGCGCGCCGAACCGCCACCGCCGCCGCCGCCGCCGCCGCCGCCGCCGCCGCCGCACCAAGATCGAAACCAAAGTCCATCCCCGTAACGGCGGCGGCGGTCCGTCTCCACACACATACACAGCACCACCGCCACCGGAACAGCCAAGACTAACGACGACGCAAACTCCCGCCGTTCCGCACCGCCATCCCACCACCCCTATGTCGACGGCCACCCGCCCCTCCGCCGTGGACTTTTCTGTCGGCGTGCGTGTGCGTCGCGTACAGTCTAAATTATTGTATATACCCTCGGCGCCATTGTCTTTGTGCCCGCCTCCTCGTGCACACGGCAGCAGCAGCGTCCTGAGCTCTACAGCGGAGGGTATACATATTTTTAACCCTTTTGGTTAAAAGGCTCCGGCCAAAGGGATATTTTCGTCTCGTCCACCACCATTCCCTTCGTAATTTTTTTTTTTTTTGTTTTAATGAAATTTCCGGACCCCGCAGTGACCCTCGGTCATTTTTCTCGGACCTCGCACACACGTGACCGTCGCCTCCGCACCGCCGCCAACTTCGTAGTACGCGGGAACGCGCGTTAAAGCCCGCCACCGGAAAAATACTTTGACCGTTTTCGGTTCAAGAGACACGTGAATGCATGCGTTCTGTTGTCGTTCCGTTGTTGTTTCTCGGTTTGCTAGCCGTTTTCAAAACTCATCTCGTCGTTGACAAATGCCGCAACTGTACACCATGGGATAAAACAACATCGTTTCCGCTGTAAATGTCAACGCGCACAACTGTGGCGACGGATTTATGAAAAATATCGACTATAGCATAGAACAGCTGACACTTCTGGCAGTGACGATCGAGGATCAAAATTACTATCATTCGCATATTGTTCGCGGTTTTTAGACACGTCATTAAAAGATAGTAAAATAAGATATTATATTATAAATACTTAATTTATACTAATATTCTAAAAGCTTGCATGTATTAAGAATTTTACAATCTTTTTGCTAATGAAATGTAAAAATATAATCGTTACATCATTATAATGCTCACCATGCCAATTATTGCTTATCGATAATGCGTCCAGCTCACTACTTGCCAAGTCCCAAGTGACTGTAAATACAAAAAACTATTTCGGTAATATACCTTGAATTAATATTGTATTTATTGTATCTTTTGAAATATTTTATCAATTTTAAATTTAGTAATTTATTATAGAGCATACTATCATTATACATTTTCATGGTATTTCGCATTTCATAATATTTTAATGTTGCAAGTCGCAAACCCTGATGATGATAGAATAGGTGTAAAAATATTATGATTTTGATATAAATCTACCACTGTTGTACTGTTTTCAAATCCTTCGAATATAAAGAAGACATTTATAGGTAGATACTTTTCCTGTAGCAGGTAAAAATAAAAGCTAATGTAATTTGTAGTACGCTGACATTCAAGTTTAATCTTAAATTAAAAAAATATATAACGTTTGAAAAAACTTTTTAATTGGTGAGGCTATTCTCCTTATTAAACTACATTATATAATACATGTATACTAAATAAATAAAGTAATATATCTAACATACCTTATCCCATTTTTCCTTTATTAATAATTTTTTTTTCGAATTATTGAAATATTTTTTACTACACGTGCAGGATTTTATAGGCTATAATGATACAAAATTATATTTTTCAAAGAGAATTTTTAATAAAAATAATTTATTAAATCATTTTTTTGAAAATTTCCATGCGCCTAATTCAAAATTCTAACGAATAGTTCCTCAGTTATTAAAATGTTCATACTAAGGAAAATAGTCCTTAAAAATAGTTTTACAAAAATATGAAATAGATGTGATAATAGATCTAGTATTTATTTTATTCAGACATTTTTTATAAATTATAAGGTGACAATAAAGTATAAACTAATATAAATTACTATAGTTTTTAAATCACGTCAAGCCATATAGCCTATAGTATGCAAAATTAAATAACTCAAAACAGTCAAAACTATTCATTCGAATTTAAGATTTGTTACATCAAATTGTTTAGAAATATAATCCTCTAATTTATAATACAAAATATAGGTTTTCGTATAAAAAACAAATATTTGTATCATAACAGGACACTTTTTTATAATAAATACAATTTAAAATTTTTTTTTTTTAATATACTTAAAAACTTTAAAAATCAAATTTCTAATTTAAATTTTTAAAGCAACTAAGTGCTACTGATGGGTGGCTTCTTATTCACGTAACCCCATATTGTTTTTGTTACCCTAATCTCTCATATACTTATTGTGCTTAATTGTATAGATCGTATATTTCTTGTAAAAAAAAAAAATAAAAAAAATTTAAAGGAAAAGGAGTTGAGTTATTTTGTATTATATTAATATACTTAATCAGTTACCACTTCATGAAATATAATATTTTTTGACATTAAATCAGAAAAACAACTTCAAAAGTGGTATTATATCAACCTTCAATAATCTAAATTCATACTATGCACTTTAAAATGTAAAAATGTAAAACGAAAAAATATTTTGAAAACACTTTTTGAAAAGATTTTAAAATAAGTTTGTTAAGCGCCAACATAATGTAAACTATTTATTATTCCAATCTATTAATAATGCCATTTCAATAGATAATGATGATGTCTTATAATTCGTAAAGGTAAGTTAATGATTATGCATAACTTTCGACGGTGTAATTCAATGATGTTTTATTTCACTCATATAATCGGTAATGCGGGTAGTTGGACAAAGGTAATATTCTCTTACGCTCGTCGATTGTTTAAGATATTATGGTGCCTTAATGTGGTAAGTTTGGGTGTTGGGTCACATTTCTCACTCGTTTGGGTTACTGCAGCCGCAAAAACGGTTGAACCACAATTGTTTGTAAGTAATAGTCGCCGAATCCACTAAAGACAAACTCATCAAATCCATGACTACTATAAGCTACCGACAATATTTATATATTTACTATTACCATTGAGTATGTACTACTCGTATTATAAAAAACTGAATGGTGCATAATATTACCGTTTTTCATTACTTGCTAATCGATGTTAAATTAAACTCTCTTAACACCTGATATTCTTAAAATCTGAATGAATTGTGTCCTATTAATAAATTTAAAAATTATCTATTGACTTTTTTACGATTTTTAAATTTTTTCTGTGATAATTAAAATATGTTACATAACACATTTATAACGCTCATTTAATTAAAATATCAATAAACCTTTTGAAATGCCATAGCCCATAAGTAATATTCTTATAAATAAATTTCGTAAAATATTTTCTCTCATATTAAACCTAGAAATCAATCATAAAATTCTATTAAGTAAACTCAAGTATGCTATATTATATGAGTCATATAGGAAGAAAACAAATATTACACTGACATCTTTTGAATATAAATTCTCCCGATTAAAAAGTTTTGTTTTTTTTTTTCAAAGTTAACCATGATGTTTTAGTTCTAATATACATAAAATATAATAAAATAAGTTTTACGAGTTAGTAAAAACAAAAAGTAACTTGTGTAATTAAGTGAGAGTATTAATAACATTGAGTTATTCCTAAGTAAACAGTTAATGAACAATAGGAAGTAGGTACAACAATATAATATATGTAACTAAAAATTTTAAAAAAAGTTTATTAACTTTTTTTATTAACACCTTGATTGCAAGTATTGATTTTGTATTTTTAAAATTAAAATTAAAACATTTTATAGTAAATATATTCTACTGTTTCTATTTGTTTTGCATACAAGGAAATTACATATTTGTATCAATTTAGTTTATTTTTATTTAAAACCGTTGTACATGTATATCGTGGTCTAATAAAAATAAATAATTAGATGATTAGCTTCAACTGCAGGTATGTATATATAAACAAGATTTTAATTTGGAGGATTATTTTTCAAAATTAATGACAAAAACTAATTTATCACAATCGATACTTTTATAATGTACATGAAAAAGTTATTGAAATATTAATCATGCTCAATTATCTTAATATATTAGTCCATGTAGGCAATATAAGTATTGAACAATTTAATAAATCGAAATCATTGAAATGTATTAATTTTAAATAAAGTTATAATCAAAAAATAATAAACATAATAAACTTTAAATCATAAGATTTTTTTTTTTTGTTCAGTCAGTAACACTATTATATAATAAGTCTATAGGCCATCATCTGCTAGTTTTAAAAGTAGCCTACAGAGTACAGAATATTTTAGGTCTGAATCAAAACTATGCTAGAAAATATATTTGAACATTATAGGTACTTCCTATTTTTTTCAATTTAAAAAAACTTTTATATATAAAAAAAAAAAATTAAATAATTATAAGTTTGTATTTAAAAAACTATTTAATAATTAAAGAAAAAAAAACAACAGATGTAAGCAATTTTCATTTTAATACTAAAATTTTTAGTTAAATTTTGATGATAAATGATGAAATCAGTAGTTGAATTTCATTGTATCAACAATTTTTAAAATTTAATTAAGATGAATATTTGAACTTACGAACTGTTTGTTTAATTTGATTTTGATTGCTACTCATTTGCTAAGGACTCATGCTCCAAAAAAATCTTAAAGTATACACACATTTATGACTTTAAAAATTATCATAAATATTCTAAAAATATACAAAAGTGCTAAAATATGCTCTTGAAATTCAAAAATTATAACTTTATTTACTATTAAATAAGACATCTTAAATTTAATTTTTACTACAAAAACAATGTACTAAAACAAAAATATTAAACA